TGTTCTGACGATTTGTGCTACCCGCTCAGATTGTGCTACCTCCCATTAAAAAGATAGGTAGCACAAATCGATAGCGAAAAATGTTACCTATCAGATTGTGCTACCAGAATCTTATTCATGTGGTTTGAGGTTTTTTTTTAAAGGTGCCATAGAATGCATTGATACAATATTTTAAATTGTTTGCATGTTCCTTTAGTGGCTCGCGTTATTTTATTAGAACGCCTGTTATTTGTTTTCCGTGCCTTTCTGAATACAGACACCAACCCATTCCTGCACATCACATCCCCTGCACAGCCTGGAACATAACATTTATTTCCATGATCTGCAATTTTCGCTATAATCCTCGCTTGTTTCTTCACAATACCTGCAGAACTTCTGATGATTCGGCTGTGCAGGAGGTAGCATGTTTCGTCGGTACACCGGCGCTCATCGGATACTCTGGAAAAATGATAGATTAGTGTATCCAGATCATTTTTATCCCTCACAAGCAAATAAACAAGTTATTGCATTAGACTATAATAATAATAAATTATACAAATGCCATTTGTGTGCATGAAACTGTAACCAAATTGTTATTTAACAGTACAATACTCTCTCGCTCTCTCTCTCTCTCTCTCTCTCTCTGCTTAAATACTTTCAACAAAAAGGGAGGGCAGGGGGAGGGTTTGAGGTTTTTTTTTAAAGGTGCCATAGAATGCATTGATACAATATTTTAAATTGTTCTCTGATATCTACATAGAAGGTATGTGACTTAGGTAAGGGCAAAAAATCTCCAGAAACGGTTTTACATGTCCATTTACAACCCTAGGATTTGTCTCTAGAATGAAATGGTCTGTTATTACCTTATTTGGAAGGGCAGTGCGGCTCAATGTTGAGCTCTGCTCTGATTGGCTGTTTCACAGTGCAGCTCATTTCAGTAGCTCACACAGCAGGAAGGAAACACGGGGAAAATATATATTTCAATAATGTCTCGCAGTTATATCGTTGGGTAATTATACTGTATATAAAATACGGACATCAGGGAATCATATTAATATGCGGGGCATTGAAATGGCTTTCGAATGCACGATCGCGTTTTACTTTCACTTTCTAGATTTGCGATCGCACGTGATCTGTGTAAACTACAGCGGCAGTACTTACCACACATTTTACAAGATCAGATGCTTGTCAGTGGTGCTCAGGATCTGTAAATCATTTGCCTTTATCATTCCATGGCACCTTTAATGTCCATACCTACCCCTACCCTAAACCTACCCGTTCACACCTACCCTTATCCTAAACTTACCCTTAAAACAATGCAAATATATTTTTGGTAGCACAATCTGATAGGGGCATTGCAGTGTAAAGCTTGGAATTTACTTATAACTGCTACAGTGCAATGAAGATTGAAGGCAAGGGACTGGTATGTCTCTTAATGCATGTGAAATACCATGACAGCATTTATCTGTTTATATTTTAAAATCACTGTCTTCATTTCTGCCTCTCATTATCTGTTTAAATCTACATTAATAGCTGTTGCATGTGATGCTACAGTTTGCATGTTAAGTTAAAGAGAATGAGAGAAAAATCCCTTTGGTTGCACATGTGTTGTGTTTATACATCATAATGTCACATTTACTGCTTGTATCTGTTGGTTTGGGTGGTTAGTGTTGGTATGTGAAATTTTAAGATGGTGAAATGTTTATTTTAAGAAAGTGCAAGGTGGAGTAATAATTAATCTCTCTTTCTTTCAGGTATCTGTGTTTATGAGCTATGGTGGAAAGATTTTTGTACACCAATAGCATATACAATTAACTACAGAATTCTGGTTAAAACAGCATGGCGAGTTAACGCACAGTGTAAAACATGCATATTTATTATGAGTCTGTGCAGATGTGTGTAAATGTTAGATACAATTCTGCTGGAAAGTAGTTGCAAGAGAGTAATGACTTTACCAGCTGTTTATTTGCTCTCATCTCATGAGCCTTTTCACAACCATAAGAAGGATAAGAAGTCCTGAATATTATTCTTTTTTTACTGATAAAAAAAATATTTAAATAGTGTTTATATTTAAATTTTGAGCTATATGGTGGCCAGCATCTAAGAATTTGTAGTTATGCAACATTATGACTAATTGATTTAGCATTGCAGACCTTTAGCCATGTGTTAAAAAAAGTCTTCTTATGATGTCCAACCTGAAGTGTGTACGTGTGTACGAGTGTGTAAAGGATGTGCTTTGTAAATAGATCCCAGGCTGAATTCTTAGCATTCCGGGTGCAGCCATATTTATGGACGGGATCCTGTCTCTTCAGTGGAAGTTCTAGGAAGTGTGTGAATTTGAGGGAAGCACCATAAAAATACAAAGAAAAAGCAGATTCATATATAGAAACTGGCATTTGACTGTTTTTCCGCATTAGATATTTTTAAATGAACAAGAGTATTTGTGCTTAGCAAGGATTTGTTGGGATTAGCGAGGAATCTTGACTCTCTACGACCCTGGCGGATATGTTAATATTCATTTATATTTGTTTAAAATGCTCTTAAACTCTTGGTGTGCTGTCAGTCTCCTACCCGCTCTAGTTCTCTACCCGAACTTTGTTCTAATCTGTCGATTCTAACTGCCTTCATCTTCCAGAAGGTACATGAAAATAGACACACATGCACACACAGACATATATAAATACAACTGGTTGTAAATCCAGCATTCACTCGCTCATTTAATTTGTCCTACGCTCATCATGATGAGTGCAACGTTACTGAGATTACATTAGCACAGATTAAGATGTGAAGAATAGATCACATCTTGTCCAGATTACTAAGAGGTTCCATATGGTGAATTCTTCTTTCAGTCCAGTTGTGAAGTTGAAGGGGTTTCGCCTCCAACACCCCTAAACCACATGATGTTGCTATGATTGTTGATATAATTTTTTATTTCTATTGGAAAAACAATGCACAAGACTATTTAAATGGAAAGAGTACTCAAAAGTAAAAATTGTGTAATCATTTATTGAGTGAATGATTGAGTTATGATAAATTTTTGAGTAAGCTGTCCCTTTAAATAGCTCATTTAGCTATCTAAAAAGTAATAGTAACATCATGCAGAATTTTCGGAATTGTAATTTTGAGTAAACTGTCCCTTTAAATACCTTTTTTTTTTTTGCATTAGTTTTCAACAAGGAATAAAAAGTAATAGCAACATCATGTAGAATTTTCAGAATTGTAATTTTGAGTAAACAAATAATTTTTTTTTCAATAAGGAATAAAAAGTAATAATAACATCATGTAGAAGTTTACATTTTTTCCCTTTAAATACCTCCTCCAACTATCTTGTGCAATATTTTTCAGCAGTGAATAAAAACTGAAAATGCAAACATGATGCAAAATTTTCAAAATTGTCATTTTTGGGTGGGTTGTCCCTTTAAAATAACTCCTCTAGTTATCTTGTGCATTATTCCTCAACAATGCATAAAAAATAATATAGTAGTAACATCATGCTGAATTTTCATTGTAAACTTTCCCTTTAAATACTTCCTTTTTGCATTATTTTCCAGTAATGAATAAAAATAACAGTAAAATCATGCAGAATTTTTCTGAAATGTAATTTTTTTGGTGAACTATCCCTTTTAATATCTACTTTGTTTTGCATTATTTCTCAATGAGAAATACCTCTAGCTATCTTGTGCATAATTTTTCAACTAGAAATACAAAGTAATAGTAACATTATTTGGAATTTTCAGAATGTTCATTTTTGTGTGAACTATCCCTTTAACACAGATCACATCAAATATTCTTTTAGCATACAGTATGTGAAAAACATATCTTTATCATTTTGATTTTCCAGGTGTGGCAATGATGCAGTGGTCATCTGAGTGGGCGGAGCAACACTATGACGTCTCTTCTACCACATCATCTCCAGTACACCTTAAGCCCCTCCCATTTCCACAGCCCAGTCGCCCTGCGTTCTCAGGCTACACCGACGACATCAGTGCCCTCAGTGCCTCTAGCTTGCTAAAACGCTATGCCGAGAGGTATTCCTTCAACTCGTCCTTACCAGAACATGGGAGTTTCCTGAGAAGTGAGCATCACCAGGAGCCATGGCCTGGGGGGTACAGCGCAAACGGGCCTCCTGGTTTAGACCCATTGAAGGGGAGCGGAAGTGATCTTTCAGAACAGCAGTACAGCGGTGGTCCCACATCTCAGGATTACCCTTCATCCTACAGCAGCCAACACCTGCTGCCTAAACCATCCTATCTTCCGTCGCCAGCATTTGCCTTGCCGTCTGCATACCTGCCACCCGCACCAGGCTACGCTTATTCCCAGCAATGCGGTCTGAGTGCTAGTTACCCTCACAGCACCCCTTCTCTGCTGCCCTCGGGTCTACACACTCCCACACCTCTTCACAGCAGCCTCGCTGCTGCTGAACTCCCACGTAACAGGAAGTTCGGCTTCGACCAGTCCAAAACTGCCAGAGTCTCACCATACACAATCAGGGACAAGACTGAACGGCAGAACAGCGACAGTGGTGGAAATGTCAACGAAAGTTGTGGGACGGACCTCCAGAGCTACAGGCCCGATAGACCTTCCACTCAGTCTGATCTTGAGGCAGATTCTGTGGGTAAGACCAGTCATCTACGGCCTCTGGAGACACGGTCTTATGGCGGTCCGGGACAGTACACATATCCCTGAGTCTACTTGATGTAGTGAAATTATCCTTTTTTTTATATACAGTATATATACATGTTTGTAGCAATACTTGAACATATCAAACATCAGGGCAAATAACATTATGGTATGAAACCATTTACGGACTAAGAAGATAGATGTCTCTCTTATGCACATTATCATTATTTCTGACTGCAGCTTTAATAAGACCTATAGTAAAGACCCTTTTGTATCCCTGAAATCACGCTTTTTTTATTCTCTTCCTTTCCTCTTTTACTCTCTCTCTCTATAATTATGTTGTGCAGTGAAGCACATTTTGGTGGCAAGTACTAATCCACTGCTTCAATTAATGAAATCCAAGCCAAAGAAAGACTGAAAGAGAGGAATGGAAAAGAAAAGTACACAAAAATTGAAGCCTGTATTGTAAGTCAAAACACATGAAAGTTTCATATGTCATGTGTAATGTAAGGTTTTCATACATTTTGTTAGTGAGCATGTCAGTGGTAAGGTCATGGATGTTCTTCAACACTGAAATCAGATAAAAACACTCCTATTTTAGGGATATTATGTAAGGTTCCTCTATAAACTTTGAATGTAAAGCTGATTTCCCTCAGGAATTGTGAATGAAGCCATACTTAATGTTTATCTTGTACAATTTTTTTGAGTATGAAAGATGTTTCTGTCTTTTATTGTCTAATTAGTGTAGTATCTTTGCCATGTCCTTCATTAAAAAAATTATTTGTAACATTACATACAGTATTTCAATCATAAAAAATGCATATTTTTACAGAACACATAATATATCACTAAAAGGCTCTTCGCAGTCTTTTCCACTATTCACCTATTGTGACATTTACTATGGAAACCCACAGAGCTGTCCCAGCCCCCTGAGTTGATCACTGGATGTGTTTTCCTCTGACCCTCTGACCCTTCTCTGTTTTAAATGAGGCATGTGAAAGAATAGAGAGTTTTTGTTATGGTGAGGCAAGTGGGACATACACTGAAATGTACAAACTGAAATGCTTTAAAATGCGTTACTTTAACATTTGCAATATGCTGGTCAAAATCATATGACTTAATACATGTACAATATGATCTACCTCACTGTTACAATGCTGTATGTTCAGAGTACACATTTGTATATTACATGTCAAAATGTCTACCTCAAGGAAAAAAATACACAAAATAAAAACTATTGTGCCAATACAATTTCCTCTCTCTCTCTTTGTGTGTGTGTGTAACTGCCATAAAAACGGAGATATCACCTCTGATAAGACTGTAAAGTTGTTTAAAAAACACTTTTGTCTCTCAAGCTCACTGAGGCTGTGTAATATATTCTAATATTGTGAGTAACATTGTGAATTATAGTACTACAATTTAAAATAACTGTTCTTTATTTTAATGTATCTTAAACTGTAATTTATTCCTGTGATAGCAAAGCTGAATTTTCAGCAGCCATTATTCCAGTCTTTTTGTGGAAACCATGATGATTTTTCAGAATTCCTTAATGAATAGAAATTTCAAAAGAACAGCATTGTTTGAAATATACATTTTTGTAACAATGTAAAAGCCTTTATTGTCATTTTTTTAATAAATGTAATGCATCTTTGCTAAATAAAAGTTTTAGTTTCTTTTAAAATAAACATATTTTGTATTTGATACTAAAAACATTGTAATGTTTGCAGTCCCATTCAAATAGTGGTTTCTTTAATCCACAATCTTCTTAAGGCTTTTACGGGCTTTACAGTAAACAGTATTTATGCTTGATTTTTGATTTATGCTTTAACACTGTAGTTTGATTTACAGTACAGTGTTTGATTTATGCTTTAACACTGTAGTTCTTTAAGGGCCAGATGCACAGCTGGTGCATCAGGTCACCTTGTACCCTGTCCAGAATGACATTCACATATCATGGTCTTTAACTCCCATCAGAAATCACAACCTTATGGTTGTGCAGATGTATCTCTGTATAAGCTCTTTAATCACTTGATCTTTCAAGGAAAAGGTCAAGGTGATTTTGTGTTCTTTTTCTTCTTTTTATATTTTCAATACTAATCCTTAATTGTAGTACAATTTTACACACATTTATAATATTGCCAGTTATCATACAGAATTATTATTTGTGTGTTGCCCTCTAGTGGCAAACCCTTAAACCAAATATTTTTATACACCCTTCAACAATTCTTGTTATACTTATTATTAATAGTTTTTACATCCTACTCATTTTGGATGTCCTTACCACTCTTAAACTAAGCTCTGAACACAGATGCTGACTTTTGACTCTCCATTTCTTCCTTATTGTGACCCCCCACCCAAAACAGCTCCCTGCAGTCAATGCGCAGCAGAGTGTGACAGATGCTCTATTCTCTCCATCCACCCCCACCTCCCAGCACACACAGCCCTCAGCGCTTTGTTTTTCAGAAGTTTCAATACTGTCTTCGCCTCAGTGTGAGCCGTTTAATCTCAGATTGATGAATTGGGTCTTTCATCGTAGGGATCAACATCTTTGTGCAGCCTAAGACCATTTTTGAGACTGGTTCTTGGTCTACCCATTGAAGTGACCCATGTTTTATTTTTGTCTCTCACACAAATTCTGATTTCGATCAATCCGTATTGATAACTGACAAAACCTTTCCATCTACAATTCTTTTTTGAAAACATCTAAATCTTTCCCGCCACTTGATATGCTCTCTTTCAAATAACACGATGAAAAATTATCTACTGTAGTAGATTGTAGTACTACACATACAGTGATGATACATATGTGAAGGTAGACATCTGGATATAACATATAGAGTATGACACATTATTTAAGCTTTGTACATGTTATTGTTTATTTGTGTGTCTTCAGGTTATTTGTCTCTTGAAGATAATATTCACCCACAATTGCTCTCCCAACACATTTAAAGGGATACTTCACAAAGAAATGAAACTTCTGTAATCATTTACTCACCTTCTTGTCACTCAAATTCATTTTTTTTCCTTCTGTGGAACACAAAAGAAGATAAACATTTAAAATGGCCGTGTTTCATCAAATGTTTCCCAACATTTTGGCCCTTTTAATAAGGCTCAAACATCCTTTCATTAAAAACAAATGTTGATCTTGTGATTTTCAGTCACATATTCAAGACCATTAATTGGGTGTGGTCTTTGTGCTTTGGTAACTGTTTGTAATTCAGCCTATAATTGAAGACATTTCATGTCAAAGTACCAAAAACTGTGATATCTGTTCTTTTAGTCAGACTGTCTCTCTTTTTTTAACCACCAATTGGATATAAGGACATTTGGACTTTTGTTATTAGCGATTCTTTGTTTGGCTCACAGTTGAAAGGGGTAGGGTGGAGGAATGCTGTTCAACAGCCAACACGGCCTTCAATTCATCATGATAAGAACACAGCAAGGGAACACACACAACCCCTTCAATGACACCTAAAACTGAAATCTTAGTGTTTGTCAGCACTCCTTACAAAGTCAATGTTGCATGGATACACCAACACCAAACAGAGGATGTGTGCCTCAACAGACTTCATCTGGATCCAGTGGGTACTTTCAGATGTAAAATGTAAAGTTTCTTGAGGATGAGTAGATTATCATTTTCCTCATCCTTATCTTAGGCACTTGGGCTTTTCACAGTTGTCGAATTTAACTCTGCCTTTAGGCCCGGCTAAAATACCATTTTATATTTCTATGTTTTTATTTGTTTACTTAGTATTTTTAGTACTAGTGAAAGAATAGTGAGAGCTTCGAAATGTATCGTTCAATTGTTTAGCAACAACCAATCATTAACTGAACCGCCCTTTGCTGATTAAATATTCATGAACTGTGAACATAAACATCGACGCGCTGTACTTCAGCCTTTGAGGTAAAATGACGGACAACGTGTTAGCTGGAGTGAAGAAGAGACAGACTTACTTACGGTGATATACCGAAATGTCTGTTCTGGAGCAGTGAGGAACATGCTCCAGAATGTGGGGGAAGTCATGGCCTAATGGTTAGAGAGTCGGACTCATAACCCAAAAGTTGTGGGTTCGAGTCTCGTACCGGCAGGGATTGTAGGTGGGGGGAGTGAATGTACAGCACTCTCTCCCACCTTCAATACCACGACTGAGGTGCCCTTGAGCAAGGCACCGAACCCCCAACTGCTCCCCGGGTGCCGCAGCAAAAAAATGGCTGCCCACTGCTCCGGGTGTGTGTTCACGGTTTGTGTGTGTTCACTGCTGTGTGTGTGCACTTTGGATGGGTAAATGCAGAGCACTAATTCCGAGTATGGGTCACCATACTTGGCCACATGTCACTTCACTTTTTTTAAAGGACAACTGATGCGTGAGAGCCGTTTTTAAACAGGTTTGTCTGTGTTATCGACACCGCAAATAAGAACGTTAACGAGTTTACCATTGTACAGTATGAAAATTTAAATAAAGCAATAAGCCCCAAGAAGCCGTGGTTTACAGTGAATTTATAACAGTTAAGGGGCGTTGTTAGGCACGACGCAAAGCGTTTTTTTTATAAAACAGTTATTCCATATACGTAGTTAGGTTTCACAAAATAAAACAGAGCAAATAAAGTGTAATGATATTAATAAAAACACTAGTTATTCTTCCACCAAACAATATAGTTCCAATGTAGTTCAATGTAGAAACAGTTGTGGTTGCAACCAGTGGCGGCTCGTTGGGGGAGGCAGGGAGGCAGTGTGCCTCACAGCTTCCCCAAAATTTTGAGGTGAAAATGGGAGGACGATTTAATGTTAATAAAATTCACAATTCATTTCAGTTCATGTTTCAGAATGTGTACTTTTTGTTTGTAATTTCACAGCTGTAATACCATAACATGTTAATGAAGTTGGAAAGCGCCGCTTTTCTATCGCAAATGTGCCGAATCTGCTGATTATTAATTACAACCGCTAAATAATAGAGAAGGGGAGGGGGAGTCCGGGGGAGAGCTGAGCTCTCGTGCCTCCGTTGGTAAAAAAAAAATTAGCCAATCACCATGGAGTGTTCACTTTCATGCTGTTCATGCTGAGGAGTGTTGAGAAAAGAAACCTATGGGAGGCTAGCCTCCCTTCTGATATCAACCAATCATCAAAGAGACGTAAATTACGTGATATTAG